CTAACCTTCCCAGTTTTTTAACATTGCGTATTTTCATGGCAGGTTACTAAGCGAAATACAACCACAACGTTGCTGAGATATTTGCAAAACTCTGGACCGCAGGTGTCTATGGTGGGGAACGAACGCGCTATTATCCTTTCCGGGGAGTAACGCGTTCACCACCACACCATGCGGGTCCTTTGTTTCGCACGTCTCTCAGCTATTTCTATCAATTTTTTTGCCACAGCATCTGGGGAGCGCAAATCGGCATAGAACCCAGTTAAGCTATGGCTGACGATCAGATCAACCCCGCTGACGGGTGATTGCTGTGGCAAAAAGATCGATAGAAATAGCTGAGAGACGTGCGAAACAAAGGACCCGCATGGTGTGGTGGTGAACGCGTTACTCCCCAGAAAGGATAATAGCGCGTTCGTTCCCCACCATAGACACCTGCGGTCCAGAGTTTTGCAAATATCTCAGCAACGTTGTGGTTGTATTTCGCTTAGTAACCTGCCATGAAAATTATAGAGGGCAGAAAACAAAACGTTAAACATTGCGTATTTTGACATTCCATTAAGCAATCGTGGCATATCGACAGAGGAGCATAGAATAAGGTGTTCGGTATTGATCAATCACTGAAACAAGCGGAATGCGTTTCGCTCCTTTAGGAATCGTAGAGAAAACTTAGTCCATATTTGTCCCATACAATGAATAGTGCGGCTAGCCTATATATCGGATTAGTGTTTTTATCCTCCAAGACATGGTTCCAGTTTGCCGACCAGCACGGGAATATCTCATGAATTGAGTAAGGAAATAGAACATTTAGTTAATAGCGACAGAGGTCCGTTGTTTTATTAGGTTGTATTTCACCCGTACCCGCATAAAATTCTGGAGTTCTGGAAGCGATGAATTCGTTGAAGGCATTTTTTGCGTAAACGTTGTTCGTGAAGCTTTCTCGCCTAGGAAGAGTCAAGGTGTTTGAAGTGACGGTCGCTAGGAGATAGGTCTGATGTTGAATATGGAAGAAGTTTCGCAGCTCAACTCGTTCAACTCCTGCAGCGTTTGTTGTACAACGTGAGGACGAGCATTTTCGTGAAGGATTGGTCCTTTTCTGTTGACTAATGCCGGTCGCTGTGGGAGCTTACGGTGCATTCCGCCGATTTGGTGGCAATACTTCTTTCCCATAATCGTTTCGTCGGATTCAAGAAGCTGTGATGAATCAGCCCAGCTGCAGACCACGAGACTGTCACCATAACCTTTTTTAGTTAAATTTTGGCTTTGGAAAGTGCTCTGTACCCTGATCGCTATCCAGTGATTGAGCTGAACGTCGCCGGTTGTCGTGCATAATCCACTTCTCGTCGTACGCTACAATTCGATTAAGAAAAGGGTCGTTTTTGTTGAGCACAATAAGAGCGGACGACACTTCATAACGGCGATTTTTTTCGATTATCGTTTAATTCCTGCGGCACCTACTTATCGAGTTTTTTCGTCCTTCCTATGCGATTCAGTTGAGTGCAAATTATTCCTATACCAAGCTGTTCAGTAAGCTTTCGAACAGTTGTACGTTTGTTTGCTTCCACTAATGCCTTTAATTAAGTGTCGTCAAGCTCACTGGTACGTCCGCCGCCTTCCCTATGTTCGTGGTCGAAATCACCAGAACGGAATTTCCGGAACCATGTTCGCACTGTTGAATCACCAACACTACTCTCACCCCAAACTTCGTTAATATTTCGAGCCATCTCTGCAGCACTACAGCCGAGTTTGAACCGCCGCTTTGAAATCTGGTCCAACATGTCTCAATTCTTTTAAACTATTGTTAATTTAAATAAAAGCAAAAAAAGGGAAGAATAGTAAGGAACCTTGAGTACAAGAAGTTAGTTACTTTATCCTATCAAAACGAAATCCGGATATTCTGCAAGGGTCTTCTAGGTTTTCTTGCGTCGAGCTTTTAGTTCGAGTTCAAAAGCTATCGATCGGCTGTGACTTTAGAGAACATACTTCGACCGCCTTTTCCTACGCATTCTTGGTTTCGCTGCTGGTTGGACGGTTTTTGGAATTCCTGATACTTTGTCATATTTAAAAGAATACTGCAGAAAAATTTTTTTAAATAACTCGTTTTCGCGTCTACTGTGAGGAATCCACTACTTCTCACAATCAGTTCTTTTCCTCGCATCTATCGTCCACAAGGTCTCTCAACCCTTACGTGTGGGTTTGGCTGCTGCCCAAGGGTTTTCATTTCTTCTTGAATACCTTAGAATGCAGCTTGCGTCGATTTTCCTTGATGTCCTAAGGTAGCCGACCTGAGGTATTCCCAATTGGAATGCTGTAAGTGATTTTTTCACGACCACCCCGCTACCAATTCCCTACCCCGGAGCGATGAGAGACTTGGTGAAGTCCGCAGCAGAATCAAACTATCACTCTGCTCATGGTGACAGACACCACTACCACTGTGCTGTCCGCCACTTGTACAGAAATTATGTAAATGCAATCCAGAAATCAACGTCAACTATCGAAAACCAGATTCCAACCCTATTATTCAAAAATAGTTGAAGAAATTTTCCGTCTCAAATGACATTTAGCAGAAAACAACGAATAGTCGTGGATTTGTTGAGTCAACAGGGCAGGTGACATGGGAAGATGCTTAGGTTCCTTCCATAAAGGAATGCTGGGATGCTTCCATAAAGAGTGAATACTTTTCGGTGTTTTCAGTCTCTCTATTAAGCCTTTTTAGAATTTAAATCATTACTAAACTAAGCCTTTCTCTTTTGCATCTTCAACACATCTAGCACTTCTCAGTTTTTTGAGCTTTGTTGGGATTTCTTCATTTTTTCAGGCAGTTGCAAGCTATTTGAAGACAAACATCTCTTCCGTTCTCCCAATCTCTTGTGAAGCGTGCGAGGAACAAATACATTTGCGAAACGGGTAGGCTACTATACATCCGCGTAAAACAGCACCTAGTCGGTTAAACCAACTCTACACTAGGCGCGCATAAGGCAAAGAGACACAACGAAAAAGACAAAGACTGGAAAGAGATTCTTTTGAAATAGAAGTCACTATCCACCTATGGAAATCTAAAACATCAGCGCGCAAAACTACACAAATGCTACGAATAAATCATAGTGTAACCACTTTTTATTTACTGCCTATTTTATCATGGTAGGATAAATAAAAAAAGGATAAAGCTCTCGTCGTTAATTAATCCCTGATGGATACCGCCATGCATTCGACTTCACTAAGCACCGTTCGGAGGTCATATCTGGCCTTTACAGTGACTCGCGGTGGCCTACCGATGTTAGCAGTGCTGATATCCTCCCAGACAAGTCTTGTGCCACTGTACCAACTCTGGAGTGATGGAATGCTTAGCGGGCCAGGGATACGGGGATCGATCCCGTGTGTGTGTGTGTGTGTGTGTGTGTGTGTGTGTGTGTGTTTCAGGACGCCCATAGCAGGGAATGACGCGAAACACAACTACAATGATGCTGAGATATTTGCAAAACTCTGAAACGCAGATGTCTGCGGCGAGGAACGAACGAGTTATTACACTTTCCGAGGGCTAACTCGTTTACCTCCACACCATGCGGGTCCTTCGGTTCGTCTGTCTCTTAGCCAGTTTTTTATCTACCATTGCCATCAGCAATCATTGTCAACGATATTGATCTGGGGAGCACAAATCGACACTGAACGCAGCTAAGCTGAACGCTGAAGTTGAATTCACAATCCTAGCTTTTCTACTTGGTGTCTATTACAATTTTTCGCGGCATGGTATCATAAATACAACCAAGATTCTGTTGAGATATTTTAAAACCTCTGGACCGCAGGTGTTTGCGCTGGGGAACGAACGCGCTATTACCTTTCCTGGGGACTAACGCATTCATCAGGTTCTTGATGATTACGATACCTGGTTTTTTTACAAATTTCATTCATAGAACAATTTAAAGAATTATTTTCATCCTTACCATAGATGATATTTCGAATAGGAGACACATGTAGCGCAGTGGTTAGAGGTGTCTTGCAATAGACACGGAATCGATTCCGCACTCCAGTCTCACTAAATCTTCTATCTCTCCAGGGTTGGCAAATTGGTACCAGACTTGTCAGAGAGGACAGTAGCGCTAACTCGATACGTCGGAAGGTTACCAGAAGGCATTGTATAAAGCAGACATGCATTTCAATTCAATCACCTCTAACGATGCTTAATGAAATCGAATGCGTGGTCCCTCAGAGATTGATCAACACTGAGAGTTTTATCCTTTTTCCTATCCTTTATCCTACTTGCGATGCTCCTGCCGGCTTATATTCTTATTTATTTATTCATCCAAAATCGGATAAAGCAATTCTAGTGAATTACAATCAGTGGTGATTATAAATAAAACTCCATGTCGTTAGTTGACTTCCACTGACCCCAATTTCCAGTGTGTTCACCGCTTAACTATCGACTCCAACTGGTTGAATCTCGAACTCTGGTAAATAGCTTTTTAAACAATTGAAATACATAGCTATTGGTTAAAAAACAAGATGTTTAGTCGCCTAAGGTTAGACAATGAACATTTTGTCTAAGAAAAAGCAAACGCACCAACGGTTTCCGTATACTCCTCACCAAAAGTCGCTTGTGTAGTAGACGATTCTTAAATACAAATTTTATTCATTGCATGGTGCAAGCCTGAGATAAAGTCATGACATATTCAATTGAGAGAAAAGAGCATTCAAAAACTTACCGTAGCTGTTAGATGATGCCATGGGTGGCCGTTGCGAAGGATGAAACGCCACATGAGATTCTGTCATAGGTACAGGCGTTGTTTGGAGCATTCGAATTGATTCGCTCCCTACAGATCTGCTTCTTGCAGGTGATGAAGGTAAGCGTTGAGAATTTCTTATTCTTGTTTTTGACGATGGAATTTCTATATGTGTTCTGGCTTCGTTAGTGTACGGCATGTTGCCTTGACTGCTTGCTGGAGGTGAGACTATTGGCATAAGTGTCGGTGTGTGATAGCGAGACACCATCTTGTTCGATGGTGTTATTCCTATCGGTACCGACGTCGCTGTAGTCGGAAGCTGAATAACACAAAGATATCCAGTGCTTTAAAAGAGGTGAGCATCACTATGATGCAAACGAAGTACTCCTCTAGGTTTACTTCAGGATGTGTGTTGTCAAAGTTCAAATCGTTGAACGTATCATCGTAATCGTCATAGATTTTCGAGTCGATAGCAAGTACTTCGTCAAAATCGACTTTTTTCGGTGAGACAGATATGACAACAGGTCTGAAATAAACTCATTCAAAAATCTTTTTGAGCAAATTTATCAGAACTAAATTCTTTGATCGCTAAAAGTAATCGGTGACTGCTTTTTCTATACGAAACTGAAGTATGCTGCTTTATCTCACCGTGAAATATCTAGGCGTTCTGCCTCAATTCGAATCGTTGGCGACGGGCTGCTACGAAGCGAGTGTTCCGCGTCAGTTACTAAAGGCTTGGCCGATATTTGCTTCACGTATGGCTGGAGTCTCAGTGAGTACTGCGATGTTGTTAGCGCAGATCCTTGGTTGCGATACGTCATTGATGTTGTAGCCAAAGTGCTTTGTCTTCCATCAGACTCACGACTTGTTGGATGACGAATATAACTATGATTCTCGTGAGTCGTATCTTTCGCCCGAGCACTAGATGGTACTATGCTGGGTTGTGTTACATATTCTCGGACCACACTACCGCGCTCGAAGTGGGTTTCTTGTTCAGGTATGGGCGATGATATCTTAGGAGGATTTACAGTTCTGGGCGGTACTTTCTCTTTCATAAGTTTCTTTAGTCGCTGTCGCAATAATGGTGAAATCATTGTGGAGAAAGGCGGTGGTGGTGTGATATGTGTAAATTTAATGAGACCAGGAAGGCGCTAAAATGGAACTAGAATATTGCGAAATTGAACTCGAGAATACTCGAAGTTACGGTGGGTTACATTTACCTGATGAAGCGTCATACTAGGCCTTCTATTCTCAGTGATATAGATGACCTGACGATTGATCGTCACAGTTCCATCTGGATGTGTTCGCCTCATTGGTCCCGTATCATACCTGCAATCAGAGATTCGCTCATCTGATTGTTTCACACACTGTTCTTCACAAGTGCTCTTTTTTTCTCATTAATCAGCAATCACGAAATGTTGAACTCGTTGATTTCTCTTAGGGTAATCGAAAATTTCTAAACATTTGCTTGAATGGTTTCTTCTTCTATTTTTAATCAGAGTTTAACTCTAAGATAGGTAGAATATTCGATTTTGCGTAGTGGTTCGCGTTGTAGTTTCTCAGCGCAAATTTTTTTCAGCTGTCTTCTGATTCTTGTGACGGAAAACGTACTTTTATGAAAACTCGTTTGATCATAAAAGGATAAAAACGATAACGTTCTCGGCATTGATCAATCCCTGAGTGATGCGCCATGCATTCGACTCCATTAAGTATCGTTTGGAGGTGGTTGAATGCATATCTGGCCTTTACAACGACTCGTGGTGGCCTACCGATGTATCGAGCCAATGCTGCTATCCTCCCAGACAAGTCTGGTACCAATTTGCCGATCCCGAAGGGATGGAAGGCTTGGTGGGCCATGCGCGCGTGTATCGATTCCACGTGTGTGCTGCAGAGCGCCTCCGACCACTGTGCCACACGCACCCTCGTTTAATCATAGAACCTTTTATTAAAACTACTATTCATAGAACCTATAACTTAATAACGATATCTGAAAGTGGATTCACCTGCCTGTCACAGTTCTTTAGATGGTCCAGATGTTTTGTTATTGATTTCTATTCGCCCGAAGTTTAGTGATTACGAATAGAATGTACCGACAGTTTCTTTTCAATAATGTGTCAGTTCATTATGAGCTTTGAAATGTTTTTGAATCTCCAACTGCACATTATTTCTATGTTATTCGTGCGTCAGTGACTATATTTAAATCGCATGCACATCTATTTTCTCTTATAAAAAACATGGCAGTCCGCCAAGTAAGGTAATCTGATTGTTCAAGGTGATCCCATCTATTCTTAGTATTATCACCAGTAGGTACGCTAGTTGATACAATAGTCAGAGACGCCCGGTAATAAGCACTTGGTCTTTAGTTCGGTGAACAGTTCATGGCTAACCAAATCCCTAGCTTTTCGTGCTTGGCAAATTGGTGGACGACCTGTCTGTGAGGATCAGAAACACTCACTTTGTACATTGATAAGCATTTTGTTAGACGATTTGATTTTAATCATTCTATAGACGAAATATGCTTTCACTTGTAAATTCGGTTGCTACTGGATTTTAATGAGTGAGCATTCCCTTAGGCACTGTTAAACACCAAAAGCTTCAGTGTTCAACTTTTATCTCCAACAGTGTTGCTTACTGAGACTCATCCAACAAATAATTTCATGAAGTTTATTTTTGTTTAATATTATCTTAACGTCTTCCGTGTACATTTTAAATCATGAACACAACTAGTTGACCAGTTTAGAAGTCTTTCACCTTAATAAGCTAACTCATCGGAATCTTTGCTAATATGGTAATCGATGTTGAAATCCCATTTTTAACCTTGCCGAAACCCAAATATCATCAAACCTATTTATTCTAAGCATCTGCTGTGATTAAATTTTTTCTTTATAATCAAACTAAAGGATCAAAGGAAATGAAAGCAGAAGTGGCGTTTTTGCTTGAAGCGAAGTAAGGTCGATGAGTCTACCGATAAATACGCTCTCCACGAGCGCGACGTTGAGTTGAGCTTTTATGTGGGAATAGGTAAGACTGAGTTTGTAGTGAAGAGTTGTGCGAGGATAGGGCACGAAATTGCGCATATCCAGATGCAGACGAATCGTTTTGCTGCAATTCGTAACATTACAATTGCACATGTGAGCTCGTATTCGAATTACTCAACTACACAAGTGCTCCAATTTCAGTTGCTAAATTTTGTAATTCTACCTGGAAAATCTCATATACATGACTCTATTATTTCATAGTAAACACTACTTCGTTGAGAGCGAAAAAAAACGACTAACACTATATCTGTATGCAGCCTCTTCATTTCTAGAATGCCTCCTACCAGGTGGTGGAGTAGTAGGATATCGTCTGTAGTACTCTTCATGTAACCTTTTCAATTCTTCATAGTCCATTGTTGTCATCTGTAATGCGGTAAATTTTGTTCGCTAATTAAGGTCGGCGCGTGTGGCGTAGTGGTCGGAGGCGCCCTGCAGCACACACGTGGGATCGATCCGAGCGCCCATGGCTCATCAAGCCTTCTATCCCCCTGGAGTCGGAAAATTGGTACCAGACTCGTCTGGGAGGATAGCAGCACTGGTTCGATGCATCGGTAGGCCACTGCGAGTCATTGTAAAGTCCAGATATGCAGTTAATCGCCTCCGAACGATGCTTTATGAAGTTGAGTGTATGGCGCATCCCTCGTAGATTGATCAACGCCGAGAGGTTTATCCTTTTTTTAATAAATGTCGACCAATTAAAAAGCCAGAAATAAAATTACGACTTTTTATTATTAAAATTACATGTGTAAAAGGGCTACAATAGTGGCAGTGATGCTGATCATCACGATGATGGTGCTGGTTTAATCTCGTCTCAGACTCACCAAGTCTGTCTTGCTTCTGTGGTGAGGAAACTGTGTAGTGGACTTGGGAAAGCTCACTCTCTACAATCCAAGTGGAAACACTCTCGCTCATCTGTTTCCGTTTATGCGGATTGTATTTTACGAGTCAGCGCAGCCAAAAGCCTTCAATCAAGGAAAGTATATGGAGAACGGTTAGGTATCGCCTCTAACGAATAGGCACCATGTCAACTCTGAGAGAAACTGAAAGCTAGCTACCAGTGAATATACTCAGTTTCCACGTTTAGAGCTCAGCAAGCTATACGTGGGTATCAAACACGAAACATGTTAGAATGTGTGCGCTTTATTCCTCTGACTCTCAGAGAGCTGCCCACACGGCAGCGTAGAGTACGACGAGTGTGGAGTGCTGAAATCTCAAGGCTTTCTTCTAGACCGCCTATATATCGAGGAACTAATTAGGCAACCTGGAGTTAGAACGCACGCTCACTTGCATCTAATTCGTCAGTAGAGGAGCAAATCATGTAGAAAAGAAGAATATGGTACATCGTTGCCGGGTTGATTAAGGCGAGAAGACGCCGCCAGCTCAACGCCGTCTATGAAACCAGAGCATAGTGTTCCTCAAAAAATGCGTTTGTATAGAAGCCCACGGCGTCTGGGCTCTCGTGAGCACGAGTTTGGCCATGAACATTGATTCATTTAAAGAACTAACAACTAGAATGGGACGTCGTTCGGCGCAAAAGACCATGCTTTCCTTAAGCTCATCATTGGAGATCTTGACGCTAAGATTAGACCCAGAGGAACGTCTAAGAAACGTAACATTAGAACCAACGGATTAGAACGGAAAAAAAAGGGTGAGCGGCCACCTGAGTTTATCGTGACGACGAAGACCATTCGTGGTAACTTGCAGTTTCTGAAGCCCTACCCTCAACGCTGGACGTGGGAGTTTTCCAATGGAGAGTACCATAATGGAATGACCACATCGTAGTAAATCGAAGGTTTTGCCTAGCAGATGTCGCTCCTGTCTAAAATTCTACACGGGGATAGAACATTGCCTTTTTCGTACAAGATTCTATTTTTAGCCGAAAAAAGAAAGAGCAGCTAAATTCGAGAAACGAAGTCCCAAAATCACCATAAGCTGGAACTTATTCAATTCATTAGTCGGCTGTTGGGCATTCTCTTCATTCTCGACATCAACAAGAAATGCGATCGACTCATTCGACATTTTCACGTTAGCGCTACGAAAGCTGAGAGTTCGAAAGCCACCAAAAAAAGTGTCTCCAAAAACACTCGAGCTGATACACCAACGCCCGAGTTTGCAAAACAATGCAGACAGGGAGTAAAAGAAGGTCTTAAATAGAGAAAATTAGCAGTTATGGTTGAAGGGGCAGAGGCTTGGAATACACTTGCAAAGCTCACCGAAGCTTTTCCAATTACGATACGAAGATGTTGCACACCGATACCCAGGCGGAGCAGCTCCAGTTTTTAAAAAGACAATCGGGCAATATTTGCATTTGTTAGTTGGATCTCTTGAATAGCCACGTCCTCATTCCCTTATATGAAATAAATAAGGATGAATATGTTGTGCCACCGGTTCTCCCTTCCGAAAGCCGGTATGCTATTTAGTCGGTGAGGAACAGGTCAACACCTTACCTGGAAAAAATCAAATCTGAACACCTGAAGAACATTCCGCCAGTTCTCCTAAGCACACTGGCTTGGCTGTTCACATGTTAAAAACATGCATGTCCGAATCCAAGGACCCTACTCAATGGAAGACCAGCAAGACCATGCTATTGTTCAAAAAGGGTGATCACCACGATATCGGTAACTATATCTCAATCGGCAACCTCTTTTAAGCTGTCTGTCGTCTACAAACTCTTCACTCGAGTCGAGTCGCGTAAACAGGATTGACAGAACACTGGACGAAGGACAGCCAAGAATAAGTAGGGTTTCGAAAACGATTTGGTAAGATTTACCACAATCGCACAATAACAGCATTCATTGAGGTGTAGGGACAATACAAGAGACTGCTCTGTCTCATTTTACCGTCTCATCGTGGCAGGGAGGTGTTCTTGGGTGTCGGACTGCGATGTATAGCGGGTAGACTCCTCCCCTCGGCAGCGTCTCCTAAGCTGAGAAAGAGTCTGACGTTTCCATCAGGAAGCCTAGCTAAGAGCAAGCCAATACTAGGAACCACCCCACCACCTTGGTATCAAACTAGTCGCATGGCGGCAAGTCTTCCTCTGATCCACGATGACGGCGACTGCTTGTAGTGGTGACGATCTAGGCAGACTTTGGCCAGACTAACCTCGGGGCTCCAGAAAACAACAACGGCTAAACAAGCAAGTTACGAAAAATGGTGATTATTCTAGGACCCATACAACTTGAAAGGGCGGGTCGTTCAGCTATTAAGTAAGAGATAGAAGCAGTGATGGAATCTAGACAGCAAGGCCTATCCACTCAGTGTATAAAAATTTTACGCTTCGGATAAAAGTTTCGCAGCGAAAATATCACCATTCTATAACGGTAGTAATATCGGCGTTAAAAAGGGTTGCGTAAGGCCATACTATTTCATTAACCGCCGCCTTCGAGAAGGTTATGTTAATATCCGAAGGCTAGAACATGAAAGTGAATCGACGGCCAATAATTACACGAGCATAGCTTTGCTTATGAAATCATTGTTATGAAACCAGGCATTAGTCGAAAGAAAGAAATGCTTGGTGATTTTGTTAGTGCTTGTGGAAAGATTGGTGTTCGAAAAAAACGTTGATGTCAAAAGAGGGGTAAGGCGAGGCGATACCATCTCTCCAAAATTATTTACCGCCACCCTCCATAACGTCATGCAAACATTGGAATGGGATAATATGGGAGTGATAATCAATGGTCGGCAGTTATACCATCTTCGCTTTGCTGATGGCATCGTCCTTATAACACCAAACATTAACCAAATAGAACGTACGATTGCCGAGTTTGATAAAGCCTGTGGAAAGATTGATCTTCGACTAAATCTCACAAAAACGATGTACATGAAGAACGGATTGGTTTCGCATGCCCCACTCACGCTCAACGGAACGAAAATGTTCCAGTTATGTCTATCTAGGTTGAGAAATCAACATATTGAACGAACGAGCTCCGAAGCTGAGCAGAAGGAAACAAGCGGCTTCGGGAGCTTTCAAGATCATCGAGGATATAGTGAGGAGGACAAAGAACACCCGACTCCGTGCCTACCTTTTCGACTCAACGGTACTTCCTGCCCTAACGTATGCCTGAGAAACCTGGTCGAGGCTGGAGTATTCCCTCTCATACAAGTGAGAGATGGGATCCGAAGCTCCTACCTGCGTCAACGATCAAAAATCAAAGATGCCGTTATATACTCCAAAGAGTCGAAGATGAGGTGGGCCGGACACGTAATGCGTATGGATGACGACCGATTGACAAGAGCCGTTAGTGACTGGATTCCTCGAGATGACAAACGACAGGGAAAAGTAGAAAGTTCGGTGGCACCTGCTTGAGCCAATCGACAGTCAACACAGGTTATGCAGGTGATATATGCACTTGCGTATATATATATATAAACCAATTATCATAGCAAAAAAGAGTGGTTAGCGCAGTGGTAGTGATCCGTTCATTGCGCCGACGGTCCAGCCTGCTCAAACGCGGGCTATGTGCCGCTACGAGCAAACAAGGTTTCTTATTCCTCTAAAGTAGGGAAACCGGTACCAGAATCGTCTGGGATGGGTTGCTCTCTCCAACTGCCCACTCACAACCCTCTATCAGGGCTACCTTAGTATTCCAGCGATCACGGTTTTGACAGCAAACCAACAGAATTCGTAACGATAATGAAAGAAATCCTCAAGCAGCACCCTAAGGCACTTGAAAAAAAATTTGAAAACGTTCGTGGCTTTTGGGCGCGAGGAAAGGAATCAAATGTAAAAAGCGATGGGATCCGCATAGTGCAATACATGCGGTGTCAAATCGTGTAATGAAAACATAAATTTAGCAATAATTGTACCCAGAAATTTTCCGCTTGAGAAATAAAAGATTCTTCAAAATCTTGGAGCTCTATTAATGGCAGAGGTACATCTCTGCACTGCCTTTTTTCTTGTTCGTTTATTAAGTGAAGATTAAAACCTATGTGGAAAGCTTACCCTATCGCGATAGTCATCGTAGCGGCCACGATCTCGCTCAATTTGTTTGTATCCGCTAGATGGTCGTACTCGTGGCTGTTGAGGACGCTGTCCTGCTCCTGGTGGCATTGGTGGCTGTACATGCGGTTGATAAGGACGTTGTCCTCCTCCTTGTAGCATCGATCTCTGAAAAATAATGCATAGTTTCTATGACCGTAGCGATTACTCCTCATATCTATTAATGGAGCGAAGGCGAAAAAGTGGAAACGAACGTCTCTGCTTGCCCAATACTTCTCATCGATTCCTGGGCCACGTTTAGCAAATTCACCACAAACGAACATGCAATGATTGTAGGAAAAGAACAGGTTTGAGTTGCCTCCACAACCAGACCACCAGCTATAAACAGACTTAAATAAACAATATAAATATAAATTACAAGCAAACAATTGGCACGTCAGAATAATAAAGGATCAATCTTAGCACGCAAGAATATTTATGCATCACCTTTCGTCTGTTCACTCATCACCTGTAATACCTGTAGTTCCGTAGATCGTCGAGTGACTCAAGCAGGCCCCAGTAAATCCTCCATTTTTGTCTGTCGCGTGCCAGAGTTGCACAGTAGGTTCTGCTCGCTCTAAGGACTCGTCGACCATCATATCTTTCTTCTAGGCTCTTCGTGAAGAACTCTGACCATCGAATCGGTGGTCTTGCTGCAGTATGTTTAACATCCCGAAGAATCCAGTCACTAACGGCTCTTGTCCATCGGTTGTCATTCATACGCATTACGTGTCCGGTCTACTTTACCTTCGACTGTTTGGCGTACAGAACGGCATCTTTGTTTTTTATCATTGATGTAGATCGGTGTTTCAGACCTCATCTCTTACGTGTGTGAAGCAGGATACTCTTAGCATCGTCCTTTCGACTGCACGTTCGATAACGGTGAGTGAACTTTCATCCTGCTTACGGAGCGACCAGGTTTCCGACACAGACGAGGAAGTACCGTTTAGTCGAAAAGGTGGGCACGGAGTCGGGTGTTCTTTGTTCTCCTCACTACTTCTTCGATGCTCTTGGAAGCTCCCCAGGCCGCTCGTACCCTTCTGCTCAGCTCTGGAGCTAAGTCGTTTATCATATTGATTTCCCGACCTAGATAGACATAACTGGAGCATTCGGAGATATTCGTTCCCTTGAGCGTGAATGGGGCACGCGAAACCAATCCGTTCCTCATGAACATCGTTTTTGTGAAATTTCGTTGAAGACCAGCATTTCCACAAGCTTCATCAGAGTCACCTAGCATGCGTTTCGCTTGACTATTGCTTGGTGTTATAAGGACGATGTCATCAGCAAAGCGAAAGTGGTGTAACTGCCGACCATCGATTTTCACTCCCATATTATCTTATTCCAATGTTCGAATGATGTTCTGGAGGGTTACGGTAAATAATTTTGGCGAAATGGTATCGCCTTCCCTAGTCCCTCTTTTGACATCAATGTTAATGTCGTTGTAGAATGGTAACGTCTTGGTTATGAATTTTTTGTACAGCTCACGAAGATTCTTTATATAGTGATTAAGGACTTCTTGACTATCAAGAGCTTCCAGGACTGCTTCTATCTCAACTGAGTCAAAGACCTGTAGATCGATGAAACTGAGACAGAGCGGTCTTTTATACTCTCGCGACACTTCAATGAGCGTTGTTATCGTCTAGATGTGGTTGATCGTGCTAAATTCTTTTTGAAACCTTGCTTGCTCACATGGCTGTGCTTCGTCAAGTGTTCTGTCAATCCTGTTTAGGATGACTCGAGTGAAAGTTTGTAGACGACAGACAGCAAGCAGATTGGGTGATAGTTGCCATTATCGTGGAGGTTACCCTTTCTGAAGAACGTTCAGTTTTGCTGGTCTTCCACTGAGTAAGGGCCTTGCATTCAGACAGGTAACGTGTGAAGAGGCAACCAGTGTATTTGTGAGGACTGGCAAAAGGTTCTTCAGGTGTTCTGGTTTCATCTTGTCCAGACTTGGTGCTGTTCGATTTTCACCGACGAAATGGGATATCGGATTTCGGAAGGGAGAACCGGTGGTACAACATATCCATCCTCCTTTATTTTATATGACGAAAGGTAGACGTGGCTATCGAAGAGATCTGAGTAGTATTTGTGGATGATTTTCTCCATTGCCTTTCTGGACGTTGTAATTGTTCCGTCTGGGCGTCGGAGTGCAATCATCCTTGTCTTGCAATTGGCAAAGCTTCGGTGGGCTTCGCGAATCCTTTCCACAGCCTCTGCAGCTTCGGCAATTACTGCTGCTCTTCTCTCTCTAAGATCTTCTTTTATCGCCTCTGCATTGTTTTGCAAGTTCGGGCGTTAGTTCGCAGTTGCCTGCTGCTCGTACGATTCCACGCTGGCGTATCGGCTGGAGTGTTTCTGGAAACAAACGTCTCTTGGTGACTTTCAAACTCTGAGCTCTCATACTGCTAGCGTGAAGATGCTGAACGAGCCGATCGTATTCTTCGTCGATGTTATCGACAACGGCATCTTTCCAACAGCCGACTAATGATTTGAATAAATCCCAGTTTACGGTGGTTCTGAGACCTTGGTTTCAAGTTTTGGAATTTAATCGCTTTTTTTCCTTTCCGCGAAAAATAGAATTTTGCATGAAGGAGACGAAGGTCTGATTCCGTGTAGAATTTTGGGACAAGAGCGACATCAGTTAGGCAAAGCCTTTTATTTATTGTGATGTGGTCTATTTCGTTATGGTACTCTCCATTGGAAGACTCCCACGTCCAGCGCTGAGGGTGGGGCTTCTGGAATTGCGAGTTACCATGGATTGTCTTAGTCGCCATGATAAACTCAGATAGCCGCTCACTCTGGTTGTTCCATTCTAATCCGTGGGCGCTAATGTGACGTTCATCTTTGTCCAACCTTGGCGTTGAAACCTCCAATGACGACGTTGAAGGAAGAATGTATGGCCTTTTCTGTAGAACTTCTCCGAGTCCATATAGAACACTTCGACTTTTTTTCGTCATAGTTTGATGTCGGCGCGTAAACGACGAAGATTGTCAAAGCCTGAATTGATCCACGTCTTCTTAATCGTAAAATCCGATTGGAGTTGTAAGCTGTTCGAATAAATCGATGTTCATGGGCAAACTCGTGTTGACAAGAACGCCGACGCCGTCGACTTCTCTATTGTCGCATGTTCCGGGGAACAGTTCTTCTCCAGTGTGATAGACAGAGTTGAAAGGCTGGCGTCTTCTCGCCTCTTCCAGGCCGATGACGTCGTACCTTATCATTTCTGCTTGCATGAGCAAATCTTCTATCGAGGACTCGGATGAAAGTGTACGTGCATTGTAGGTACAGATGGTCACCATTGTTCTTTGAAATCCAGGCAGCTTCCATTGGCCCTGTGATTTTAGCAGCCTCGCTGTGCTCGTCCTACCCAACGCTGTGAAATTGGGGGCTCTTTCGGGGTCAGAGGAATGAGGCCCGTTTCTTTTTTTTACTGTGTTTAGCATTTTTGATCGCATAGCTTGCTGGGCTCTGAACGTGGGGTCTTGGTGTACTCACCGGTAGCTTGCCAGTTTCTCCCAGAGTGGCCATGGAGCCAACTTGTTGGAGGGGACTCGTAACCGTCTCCCGTATACTTACCTGTCATTTAATTGCAGGCTTTTGACCGAATTGACTCGTATAATGCAATCCGCTAGAGCTCACCCTCAAACGCATGCATGAATAAGCTTCATAAATACAGAATGTATGTTCCAAATCGGAGCCGCTAAAAGGAGCACTCCACTTTCGATCCACCTTCGTCTCAGGGAAAAGGTCGCTTTTGGTCCGCGATTAACCCCCTATCCGCCACCTGGGACGCGCCACGTAGCCTCGCGACTAGCCGGCTCGAGATCCCTTATATGAGAGACATCCGTGGACCTGTTCACATTCTAATCGATACGAAATTTAAGCATTAGCTTGTAGTAGAAAAGCAGTAAAGAGAACTCACAAACGGTCCACATTGGTAACATGTGGTTATATATGTTGAACTCTATACCGAGTTCTTTCAGCTTTTCAGCTACTGTGGCTTATTATTCACATGTACATTCCCAATTCATTGTATATCTTCCTGTTTTGGCAAACGATGTTACACATTGGATGTGGGATGGCACAAACAATGGTTTATTTTACCAGAACTAAATCTTTCCTTACAATGATAGTTCTTTCTCTTTTCACCTTGTGAGGGTCAAAAGACTATATTTAGTAACAATTACTTATGTACTTGTTTCATACCACCAGTTTGTTTCTATAATGTTGTAAGTGTTTGGTTATTGATATAGCGGTAGTGGTTTTCAATACATACTGCAGTCAACGGACAAAGAAAAAAAAAATTTGTGTAAACTCTTCCATTCTGTATGACATATTGTGCGCAACCAAGCATCACGCTCAGTGAATTCATTATCTATGAAAATTTTCAAATTCGAGTCTGAGTCGGCTGTTGTTTTAGCATTTCATGTTCTCCATAAATGGCATTGAATGCTGGTCTGGTAGATTTTCTCCGTAATATTGGGAGAGCTGTGTTAAGGCCTCCCACAGTGTCACAACCGGCAATTACTAGCTCTTGTGGAGTAGAGGGATCTTTTCTCAGAGATGTCCACTACCAATTTACCGACTCCAGAATTAAGGATTAGGGAATTACCTTCTAGTTGAACACTTAATAATAAAACTTATATAATGATATATATAATGGTCGAATAATGTTAACCTTTTATTCACTGCCTACTACAGTTTCTCACAGCAGGGTATTGCATGTGAATTACAACCACCATCATGCTGACACATTTGCAAAACTCCGGACCACAGTTGTCTGCCGTGGGGATCGAGCACGCCATTACCTTTCCGTGGGTTAACGCGTTCACCACCATACCGTGCGCGTTCTTTGTTTCGCCTTTCGATATTAGATAATTTGACTAATTTAATTCAATGTTTATTATTCGGATAACAAATACCTCTCCAATGAAGGAAAATCACATATTAAATATTTCATAAGTATTTCGTACACATTTTCCTTCCCAATTGATTGAAATCATATCGACCACAGCATTTAATTTAATGGTGAATCTTTACTGTTACAAATAGTAAACCACAAATTATTGTGGATATTTTAGCAAACTGATGAACATCCAGCATGATGATTTCATGAGATCTCAGTAGATTCACTTTTTCTATATCACTATGCTGCAATGGTGGTTTCGTTGTTGTGGTATAACGAATACCTCCTAGCGTTTTACCGCCTCATCGTGGGTGGGAGATGTGCCCGGTTGCCGGGCTGCGATGTGCGGCGTGGGAAACCACCCCCGATAGAGCCTCC